ATAAAGTTCCAACCCACTGAAAATTTAAATACACACACACAAAAACCAACCCTTTGTTGTGTCCAAGTGATTCACGGACAACTTGAGGGCCCCTATGGGAAATGGAGAGGGTGGAACATATTCACTATTCTTTTCATTTTAGTATGCGACCAAAACGTGAAGCAGAAAATAAGCGTCCAAAGAGAAAGTTGTTGCGGTGAGCTGGGCAGCTCAGGAGATCATAAACGGGCAGTGGAACCTTCTCCCTCAAGTTTGCTGGCTCAAATCCAGCCTGAGTTGTGACTGAAAGCTATTAACATCCCCGGGTGGGCATCTTGGGGCAGAGACTAGCTTTGTGTTCTGTGTTTGGACAGCAACTAGCACAACGAGGTCCTGGCCCATGACTCGGACTCCTGGGACCACAGTAATACAACAACAATCTGAAGGTTGTTTGGGGACCTGTGTGAAATGAGTTTGGTGAACTGGGTCTCAGGCCATTTCTCAGGAATCCACATCACAAAGAACATCACTAGTAGGTCACTGACAGTGGATTATCCACTTGCCCCTAGAGTGGCTCCTTCCAAGGCAGGTGTGTGGCAGGCAAGCAGGTTGTGTGAAGGAGGCTTGAGCTGACGCAGCCCAGGCTGCACCTGTTCTGTTGAGAAGGGTTCAGCTATCCACAGCTGTCAATCTGGCATCTAAATTCACATTGAAATGAGAATAAAAATATCCGAGGTATGCAGCTACTTTGATGTGGGGGTGGGGGTGGGGAAGGAACCTTATGAGAACCAGCTGGTCAGTCTGTCAAGCTATTTATATCCCATCCATTACCATGTATCAGCTCCACATGCCCATGGGAAAAGCGCCTATCTATTTTGACTAGGTGCTTGTATGGCCCCCCCATTGCCATAGTATGAGGGGCTCACAATCCTTATCACACATCCTCACAACACTCCCTGGTGCCTGGCAGCCCCTTGCCTCTATACAGACGCTGCCCGTGATAGTGCCAGTTAGGTTGGTGGGTTTTGCATGGCCAATGTTTGTCTACCAAGAACTAGACCGAGGCTGTCAGGCCTATTTCATATAAGGTACGTCTACACTGAACATGTGTCTGAGAGACCCGGGCTTGTGAACTCTGTGTTAACTCTGAGCGTCCACACTGCATTGTAAACCTGGGTTAACAATTGCTGGACCCCGGGCTCCCAGCTGTGCTCATACATCCATACTGCACTACGCAGACCTTCTGACTCTGGTCTACAATTTGAGCTGTGTGCACACTGCACAATGTCAGGACTTGGATCTGAGTCACAGTGGGACTTGGACTCATCCCCCTAGCAGGGTCCTAGGACCCTGAGTACTTGCTGGCCCAAGACAGACTGATGTGTGTGTGCATGGAAGGGGGTCTTGAGCTCAAACGTGAATCAGAAGCCGAGCTCAGTGTGTAGTGTAGACATACCCATAGTGGCCTCAGAACCCCTGACAGGGGACTTTCAATCAATATCAGCCTCAGCTGGATTTGAACTGGTGACCAAGATGTGAAAGACTCTGGGTGTCATAATCAGTCCCCCTAGAAAATGATCTCTGATCCCTTGGTTAGTATTTTTCTCCACTCCTTTTTCCTTCCCCTTTAGCTGCTTTATCACTTTTTGCCTCCTGGCACAGTTTCTCCTTTTGGGCCATTCTTAGCAAAGGCCTAATCCTGCCTTTAGGACCATCACAACCTACAGTCATGGAAATGAGTGGGATGACAAACTCAGCATTATGACCTTCCTGTAGTAAGCAGTAAGAAAGGCTGGAGCACTAAGGGAATGTTGAAAGTTTAACCCAAAACGGGCCTCAGAGCTAAACGAATCATAAAAACCAAAGAGGGAAAAACCCACGTGGTCATCTACACCACCCTAGTATTACTACAGGAGCAGTGCATGATGGGTGGGGCCTATAGATCAGGGCTCCACTATGCAAGGCACAGTACATTCCCATAGTAAGAAACCCTAAACCCACAAAGAACTAAATAGATAAAACAGGCAATGGGTGGTAGATTAAAATCCCCATTTTACAGATGGGGAAACTGAGACCCAGAGAGATAAGTGACTTGCCCAAGGTCACACTGGAAATCTGCATCATAGCCAGGCTTGATCCCAGACCTCCCAAGTCTCTGTCAAGGGCCTTAACTGTGCCACCTTCCTTCCTCCTTTGCCAGTGCAAGATCCTTGCAATATATTTTCTAGCATGTGTCTCAGGCTAGCATGTTGCCCAGTTTTAAATGTCCAAAGGGACGGTGCTTCTGCCTTGCTTGGAGACTATTCCAGTTTCTCGATCTCACTGCATTTCCTGACATTCGGCCTGTTTCCTTTCTCCTATCTCATTGCTCCACACCCCTGGACTACCCTAAATGACTCCTCTCCCTCAGTGGTGACATCCCTCCAACATACATGTACTGCTATTTTCTCTCCCCACTGCCCTTTTAGTTAAGTCAAGCACAGCACATGAAGAGAGATTTAAAAGAGGCTCCACTGAACTCATGAAGCTATAAGTTTGAAAGAAAATCAGAACTCATCCCAGACACTTGGCCCCTCCACAGAGGTCACTGGCAGAATATTTTAGGCCCCTAAACTGGTTTCCTCATGGTCAAACCATAGCTATTAACGTTTTTTAATTATCAGGGTGCCCAGTATTCCATTTGCCGAGACAAGCAGCAGCCTTCATTCCCTTTTATTATCTATCCTGTGTGGGAATTGTAGCAACAGTGACTAGCCAAGCTGTGAACTACACTTCCTACAGAAGCACTGGGCAGGAAAATGGAGCCAGGCGTGTTTACAGGTTCCAGGGAACATGAAGTCAGCTGGATTTTCCCATCAAATTGCCAGGCTGGAAGGGGTCGGAGAAGGTCTGCGGCACTGATCAACTAAGGGGTGGTCTCCCAGCAGTGGGCTGTGGACACCAGCTACTGCCTGAACTCCCTCTTTATCTCCCAAGCTCTCCCTTGTTTTAGCTTCTCTGCACTATTTTTTATACGGCCCCAATCACACTGCAGCACTGTGAAACAGCCAATCACCAGCACTGCTCATGTACACGCCACCTCAGCAATCAACATCGGCCGCCCTGGATACACAGCTCCCTCTTCCAAGAGACAGCTCCAATGAGAGATGACATCCCTATTCCTGACACTAAACCTACCTTGCAGAGCTCAAGTCTGGGTGCTATGGTTACCACATAGGTGGCACACAAAAATAACCCCCCCAAAATGAAACAGTCCCACAGCACTTGATCTGCAAAGCCTGGGGGGTTATCTTTGACTCCTTGGCCTTTAGTCAAACCACACTGCTTCACCATCTAGAATAGACTTAAAATCCATGCAAAGTTATGGTACTTAAACATTTTTAACAACTTCTCCCAACTTCCCAGAGTCCCTGGCTTTTCCTATTCCCTTAGGATGCCTTTCCATCTCCTACCATTCACCCCAACATAAAAAGGCTGATCCAGCTCCCACTGAACTCAATAGGAAGATGCTCATTGACTTCAACAGAAGCTGAATTGGGACTTCGCCTCTTTCCTAGATATTCCCCACAGTGTCAGGAAACCTTACTGTCCTCTCCCCACTCAAGACAACCACGTACATACAAATTGCAGCATCTGAAAGTGTTTAAGAAGTATTTTGGCATTTTATTAACTAGATCAAGTTAAAAAAAATTGAAAGCCTAGAACTATCTGCCGTGTTTCTCTTTCCAGCAGAGAAGTTGAGACACATTTTACTGGCATGAAGGACATTTTTGCAAGTACACGTAGGGAGAGTTAGATAAGCAGGCTACCAATGCCAGCGTGGAATCAGAGGCCTCTCCTCTGGTTTTTTTGCCCATGAAATCCCAATTTGCAAGCTAGGAAATGAACGAGGGATACCATGACCCACCCACTTGGGATTCAATCAATAGCCCGTCTAGTGTTTATGTCAACGGAACAGAGAGAGACACTCAGAGAAAAGGCAGAATGGAGCTGGCATTTCAGAGGGTCCTTTTTAGCGGATACAGGAAGTTCAAAGCCAGATAATGGAACTCTAACACAATGAACCGCTGCCGCTAAATATAAACCAACTCAGGGCAAGAACTTGAGCCTTTGCTTTACAATGGGCTGCAAGACAATCACTATCACGCCACCTTCTCAGTTAGAATAACTGAAAACTTTATTGCCATTACTGGAGTCTGGAGGAGGGATTTATCAAAATTACCACAGGACCCTATGCTACTGCCCACCCACGGTCCCACTGGGTTGGTGGAAATTGACTTAGAATGGAAACGAGAACTTAGCACAAACTTTTCCGTTCCTATTATGTCTATCCAGGCATTTACACTGTGTTCATCACTGTGACACTGACAAACCTACTCAGGGATTCAATGCTCTCGCTATCCCATGCATGGAACTGCCATTGACTTCCCTGGGAGTTCTAGGTGTACAAAAGCTGCAGTTATTAAGCCCAGAGTCTTCTCCCAACACACTAATGGGCAAAGCTTGCCTTTCCCTAAACCAATCAGAACTGCAGGGGTCTTCGATTTACAAAGCTACCTCCCACTTACTTAACCGAGAACGAAGAGGCAGCATTTACGGGGAAATCAATCTATCACTGCAACATCTGAGTACCTTACTGAGCCACTTCAAGCAAGGACACTGTTTTTATATGCTGGTAGAGGGAAAGTGAACTTCTCCACCAGGGCCTTTGGTACTAGAAGAAGAGAAGGATTTGATATAAAAAGTTAATAGAGAAGATACACCCCAGCCCAGATCTACACACTGGAAACTGCTTGTGGGAATCTTATTCAGGCTAACTTCATGCTCTGGCTACTGATAAAACAGACTGCGTGTAAATACGGTGCTAGAAACAAGACTGGTGCAATCACAGTAAAGTGTTATTAGTTTGGTGGAAAGTGAAATATTCAGCAGGCGTGTGCAGTTACTATTCAACTCGGAGTCAATTGTCTTTCCGGCCTCACTACATCTGTTAAGCAACAGCAAAGAAATTATTTCCTTACTCTCCAGCATGTACTTCTTGGCAATAGGCAAAGACAGCAGCCGGATGTGACCGACGAGGAAGCCCCAGGCATGGGCTCTGGAGAGCGTGGTTTCAGGTGGCGAAGGGCTATACGGCTGCATCACGAAGTACGCAGTTAGCAAGATTAAGCCCAGGGTAAGCAGGCCCTGTGAGAGAAGACAGGCAAGTGATTAATTACACTGAAAGAAGGAGACGTCTTCAGAATGGAAACTTTTTCCGTCCAGGTATGAAGAAGGGTTCTAGTGTCTGAGCTGTGCGTGTTTTAACTTCCGCTGAGACACCTCATTTAAACAGCAATGCTAGTCACATGCAGGTATAGACTTCTCATTCAGTTCCGTTCACTGGAGCTGTACAAGAATGAAGATAATTGGTATTTAAACAAACATCTGCAGACATGGGGGGTTGTTTTTAACACTTAAATACTAACATTCTCCATCAGAAAGGCCAGGGATCTCCATGAACAGTTCTAGACTCCTAGTCTCTAATCAGATATTTTGCACTTCCATAGCATCTTTTATGCAAGGATTTCAAAGCACTTTGCAAGCATTAACCAAGCCTCAAAACACTCTGGTGAAGTTATTTCATTGGTACAATCAGGCACAATAAACCCCAAAGAAATCACAGTGAGTTGACAGAACTAGGAATACAAACCAGAAGACCCCCCCGTCTCACTATGTAGCATTTGTGTATTCTTGGGAATGACAAAACTGGACCTCTTTTGATGACAAAAAAATCTTTAGAGTCCGTTGTAGAAGAGGACAATAAAATTATATCCAGTAGAATTTTTAATGGGAAATTTCTCATCATTGTAGCAAATATCTGACCACTCCCTACTGGAAATTGTCTCCTTACCCACCACCCCTACCCAATAAATACCCTACTTTGAAACCTCTTGAGGGGTGCATCTCCATTTTAAGATGAGAAAACAGATGCAGACAGGTGCAAGGTCAATGGGGAGTCTGTGTCAGAGCCAGGAGTACAACCCAGATCTCTTGAGTCCCTACCCTGAGCTTTAACCACAAGTCCCATCCTTCCTCTATATCAGTGGTTCCCAAACTTTAACAACCCGTGAACCCCTTTCACTAAAATGTCAAGTCTCATGAACCCCCTCCTAAAAATGAATATTTCCAGGGATTTTCTCCTTTACCTGAGTGTAAATTATAAAAAGTAGTGATCTTGGAAATATAAGCATATCATAAAAACACATTTTATTACACACTATTTATTATTTATCATTAGAGTATTTTTATATTTATTTATTTTTATTTTACATTATGAAAACGGCAACACTTTTCCAAGATCTCACTTTCGTAGCTTGTATCACTTTGAATAAGTCTGTTATAAGACAAGGCTCCTACGTTTCATCAAGGAGTATCAGATGTGAAATAGCATAAAGATATTTAAGAAACCAGCTCAGAGTTCCTCCTACACAAGCATTCAGGTCTTGAGCAGTCCAGGCAAACAACGCACGTTACAACAAAGCTTAAACTTGTTCTTCATAATAATTTTAAAAACAATACTAGCTGCCTATTTATTTTAAAAACAGCAAAAAATATCCACCTCCCTTTCCATTTCTTATAAGGAGTTTTGAAGTTTAAATCTCCTCAGTGTGATAGATATGTTTGCTTTGATCTGCTTAGCTCTTGGAAGTCCAGAGGCTCCGGACTGCTTGCCCCATGCTGCCCGGGGTCCCTATGGACAGCTCTGTCCGCCATTAGGGAATTTTTTCCCAAGAACCCCCTGTAACACTTTGTGAACCCCCAGGGGTTCACGAACCCCAGTTTGGGAACCACTGCCTCTATATCAATCACACTAGGAAACTAAAGTTTCCACTAAAAGTGCTGATGTGATGAGTTTTCATTAGCTCAGAGGCATTCTTTAAGAGGGGGATGCCTAGACACTCGTCTTTCAACACACTGGGGGCAGTTCCAAAGCTCAGTCAACATATCTTCTTCAAGCAATCTCACTGGAGAATGGGTGCAGGGATATGAACGTGGCTAGTTATAGCAAAGTCAGAGAGACTCCTCAAGAAAATCATAGAATCACAGAAATGTAGGGCTGGAAGAGACCTCACAAAGTCATCTAGTCCAGCCCCCTGCACTGAGGCAGGACCAAATAACCTCAAGCACTGCGACACCTGTTCTTTAAAACCACCAAAGAAGGGGATTCCACAACCTCCCTTGGAAGCCTATTTTACTCTTGGGGGAATTCTGCGCCACTGCGCAATGCAGAATTTTGCAGGATTCAGTTTCCCCCGCAGAATTGGGCCTGCAGAGCTGCTGACTGCCAAGATGGGCCGCTGGATTCTGCAGAGTCCAGCTCGCAGTAAGCGGAGCGCCCAGCCTGGCTGGGCTGGTGGCTGCTCGCTCTGCTTGATCCTCATTCTGCCAGGGATGGGAGAGGGCCCTGAAGACCCAGCTCTGGCAAAGAGTGAGGAAGGGCTGGGCTGCACCACACCATGTCCCCTGGCAGAACAGTAAAGAAGCTGGGGGTAGTAAAGGCTCTGGGAGTGCTGGTGTCTGGGCCGTGGGGTGCCCCGTGGCTGGGCTCTTTGGGGAGGGGGGTGCTGGTGTCTGTGCGCCCTACACAGTCCTCTCCAGCGCCGCCCCCCACCCACCCAACTGGAACTGGGTTGTTGTAAGGATTTCTTTAACTCTCTACTCCTGGGGGAATCTTTCTTGCTGTTGTCTGTATTGTTGACGGGTATTTTGAAATAAATTACCAAAATAATTGAAACTGGAGTGATTATGTTGTGTTGTTTTAACAAATAAAATATGCAGAATTTTGCAGAATTTTAATTTTTTTGGTGCAGAATTCCCCCAGGAGTACTATTTGTGCTTAACTATTCTTATAGTTAGAAAGTATTTCCTAATATCTAACCTAAATCTCCCTTTCATCCCTACTGATGAAGCCCATTACTTCTTGTCCTACCGTCTGCAGATATGGAGAACAATTGATCACTGTCCTCTTAATAACAGCCCTTAACATATTTGAGGACTGTTATCAGGTCCGCTCCTTCACTCTTCTTTTCTCAAGAGTAAACATGCCCAGGTGGTGTTTTTTTTTTTTGGTTTTTTTTTAACCCTTTCCTCATAAGTCAGGTTTTCTAAACTTTTTAGCACGTTGGTTGCTCTTCTCTAGTCTCTCTCCAATTGCCCACATCTTTTTTAAAGTGTGGAACCCAGAATTAGACAGGGTACTCCAGCTGAGGCCTCAGTAGTGTCAAGTAGAACAGGACAACTACCTCCTTCCTTCCTTTCTTTCTTTCTCATTGGGATAGTTTGCTGTTGTGCCTTTATTATTTAATCATGGGGAAATACAAGCCTCAGTTGCCATTATGTAGAGGAAGAACGTCAAACCCTCAAAAGGCATGTATGTATAAGCGTCAACATCTCCCATCCCTGCAGCTCAGAAAGATGGCTTACCTTGTAGAGAGCCATCAAGAGAGGGTACCGGGGGGGTCCCCTTTGGGGCTCATTCTTTTCCAAGAGCTGCTTGACAAACTTCTCAATGGCTTTTTCTGACATTCCACATTGGTGTCCAGTCTGCCTCACCAGGTCAATGGTCTCCGATAGCTTGTCATAAATGCTGGGTTCGCTGGCAGAAAGCTCCATGGCCACCAGTGAAAAATCCCTGAGAGGGGATTGAACACAGTCAAGCAACAAGAAACCTTCAGAAGCTCCCCATCACACCACCCACCCACCCCCACACCCCCCAAGGCCACCCTCCACAGAAAGGTGCACATCCTCAAGGTTCAATGAGAAAGGAAGGCAGCACAGCTACAAAGCTGGTTGTCACGAAAGAAAGAAATAGTTCATTCAAACATCAAGGGAGTTCGTCTGAAAGCAGTTAGCTGTAGCCTTAACCTCCTTTGCTTCATCTGCGTCTCCTAGGGATCATAAGAAAGAAGAAACTATAGCCTTATGGGTCATGGGATTTAATAAGGATACTAGGCAGACAATGGAGATAAAAGGCCCGATCCTCAGCTGGTGTAAACAGGTGTAGCTTCACTGAAATCCATAGAGCTACATCCATTTACCCAAACTGAAGATCTGGCCCATAAAGCGTACTGCTCATTGAAGGTCACTGTCAACACTATAGGAGTACTTGTGGCACCTTAGAGACTAACAAATTTATTAGTCTCTAAGGTGCCACAAGTACTCCTGTTCTTTTTGCGGATACAGACTAACACGGCTGCTACTCTGAAACCTGTCAACACTATGGAAGACAATAAACATGTGCATTGGCAAAGCTTTCTTCTGTTATAGCTTTAGTGAGTCACTTATTTTAACCAGGCACATCTTTTGTTCATTGAATCCCTTGTCCCTCTGTCCTCTTTCTTGTTAAAAATAAGTCACGTGGGTGAGTGGAGGGTCACGATTTTAAATTCTTGCAATTTAATTCCAAGGCCAGCTCGTTGTTGGGTATTGGCAATACGACATCTGCTAGCTGCAAGTAAGAGTTCCCAGTAGTAAGCTCTTCCTTTATGTTTCCTTGAAACTGATTCGCATATAGCATCTCTATACAACCAAGTACTACAGTGAGAAACTCATCGCAAATACAAGAAAGAGACAAAATGGCTTTTGAGGGCAAAAACAACGAGGAGTCTGGTGGCACCTTAAAGACTAACAGATTTATTTGGGCATAAGCTTTCGTGGGTAAAAAACCCACTTCATCGGATGCATGGATCAGCACTCCACTGTACTGTGCACTGTACAATGGGGATGGGCTGTAGAAAGACATAAGGAAATAAGCCTTTTCGGATTGTAACAGTTCCATCATTAGAGAGTCACATAAAAACTTGTGAATATCCTGCACTGGAGGGGAGGGGACTGGATATAGGGCCTTCCCCTAGCTCTTCATTTTGAGCTTGGAAAATTCTATTATCCACTAGCCTAGGGCAACCAAAAATCTATTTGGAGAGAGGAAGTTTAATCACATGCAGGAAAGCACCCTCCGTGCTGGGCTGTATGTGAAAATCCTAGGTGTGCAGACTGTTTCAGGCTCACCCCAGGTGGAGAACAGAAACAGGGCTCCTGCCTCACTTTTGTTCTCAACACCACCCAACAGCAGGAGCGGATAGCTTGTCCACGATGTCATGAAATTCCTCCTCTGGCTCCGCTCAGTCTGATACACCCCCTACAGCATTATTAGGAGACCAGTGTACATGGCTAATTACACATGTATTCGCTGACCAATCGCTCAACTCATCCGGTATTTTAAAAACCACAGATCAATTCGGCAGCTTGTCCTTGAGGGCGCAAAGGGCAGTACGACACACAGTGAAGCAAATATCATTTTAAATAGCAACTCATTTTTGCTAATCCTCCCCCCACAAGAAAAAAAGATTCAAGAAATCATATTTCCTTGTTAGGCAACCAAATTTGAAATCTGGTTGTCCTTAAAGTAGTCATCTGAAAATGTTTCCTAGCCTGCCAGCTTTAGCAATTAACTAGAACCAAGTGATGACATTTCTACCCTCCATTCCTGCACTATCAGAAACACTAACAAGCAATCTTAAAAAAAAAAAAAAAAATGATGGAATGGGATATATGCTACACCACACTGCCAGTTTGCTCTGCTTCTTGTCATATGCCATTCTCCATTCCTCATGCTTATTTATGACCTGATCAGGCAAATGTATACTACAAGATGTAATTAGTTCTTACTTTTATGAGTAGCACCATTGAGTAGTAAGCATTCTGGGTGGGATTCCCATAGGTATTTAGGTGCCTAACTCCCATTGATTTCATGGGAGTTAGGAGCCTAAGCACCTTTGTGAAGCCCACCCTACATCCAGGAGCTAGCATGGGGAAGATTAGATTGTAGAGTGCAAGCTCTCTAGGAAAGGTACCTTTTCTACTTGTGTGCTAGCTGCTTTACAAACAGCTGGCTCCCTAAAAATATTATTATTTTACTGACTCTTTCGGTCAGTCTATATAATACACTGATTCACAAACTAAGCAAGAGCCAGAGCATCTGCAGAAAATTAAACTGTCTTTGCTCAACTTTTATGATTGTTCTAGTTGCCTTGGCACTGGAACCGCAAGTGATGTACTAAATGGATTGAAAGGTCATTGGGCTTCTCTGTAGCTCCTGTATAGCTCTTTGTATCATTTGCTGAAATACCAGAGCTCAATCCTGGGAGCCCTCCACATAAAGAATTCCAGTGAATTCAATGAGAGCTGTGCACAAAGAGCTTGCAAAATCGAGCACTTGTTTTGTAACTGCTGACAGCAATTCCATGCAGCAGCTCCCAACAGATATCCTTACAGTAAGTGTCACATCATGCAATTTTTCTCCTTTCCCTAGTAGCAGAAGCTCATCAGTGTCAAAAATGCTGAGATATGTCATAAGACTAGCCCCCCTCTATAGGAGTATCCATTATTAGGGAGCATAATTGAAGATGACACCTACAAATCATATACTACCATTGAAAACCTTTCACATTTCCTTAACAAAAGTCAACAGTAATCTGTGTTCCTTGCTGGAAAATAAAATCCTTTTCTAACATTGTTTTAAAATAAATGATGCCTTAAAAAACATCCATCCATTATTTACTTTCCGATCAATGCAACATGATTTATGAAATAAGAATGACAGATTAACTCTTCTACTTAGTTGCTATATACATGTAGGAAATAAATCATCTATATCTTATACGGCTAAGCCTACTAGAGAAATAAAAGTCTTTACATTTTGTTTTGGCTTTTTTTAATTGGAAAGCCATCAGGTTTACTGTTATTAATTATTACTATTATTTAGTACTTATTTATGGTAGTGAACCAGTGACAATCAGGGACCCATTGTGCTAGGTGATGTACAAACACAGCAGCAGGGAAGGTTCCTGAACTAAAGAATTTATAGTTTAAAGCTCCAATCCTGCATTTATGTACGAGATTAAAGTGATTTACATGCAGGTATTTTCAGGATTAGAGGTCTGCTCAAGCCTAAATTTAAAGCTGGACCAGGATCCAAACCCGAGCGAAGGACAACTGACCTAAACCCAACCTGAGAGTGTTGAGAGGTTTACAGACCCAAACCCGACATTTCACCCTGAGCCTGTGCTACCTCATCCTTTGGGCTCGGCCTGGTGGGGGCTTCCCACTCCCTATGCCTGGTGCCAGCAATCCATCTCTGGCCACCTCCTGCAGCAGGAGAGGGGGTGTGACTTGTCACTACACAGGAGCCCCAGCATACACAGCATATTGATGTGGTGGCCAGCAGAAGTGAGGCACACAGTAGAACAACCCGCCGAGCCCACAGGCAGGAAGAGGTGATCAGAGATGACCAGACCTGGGCCAGCCACCTATAGTCAGGTCCCGTCAGGTTCTGGTTGGGTTGCAAGGCTCTATTCAGGATCATGCCCTTAGGTTCCAATCCTGCAAACATTTAAACATCTGCTCAACTTCATGCATGTGAGCAGTCCCATTGACTTCAATGCTGAAAGTTAAGCGTGTGCATAAGTGTTTGCAGAATCTGGGTTTAAGTGGCAATCTATTTTTAAAAGAGATGTTATTGGATTAAAAATAATTTTTAAAAGACAAGTATCAGGGGGTAGCCGTGTTAGTCTGTATCCACAAAAACAACCAGGAGTCCGGTGGCACCTTAAAGACTAACAGATTTATTTGGGCATAAGTTTTTGTGGGTAAGTGGGTTTTTTACCCACGAAAGCTTATGCCCAAATAAATCTGTTAGTCTTTAAGGTGCCACCGGACTCCTCGTTGTTTGTTTTGAAAGACAAGTTTCCTCACCTACATTACTAATAAGACCCAAGGATGTTAAATCTGAACAAATTTTAAAAATCAAATTTACATGTCACCATTTATGCTGTTGGTTTCCCATCTGTGCCTCACTCTGCATGAGCAATAGGGAAAAAAAAAGCTAGACCCCATCCTGCACCTGAGTCCGCACAGAGCCCCGTTTAAGACCATGGGGCTTTGCATGGGGGCAGGGCTCCAACTGCAGCATCAGAGCCCTTGTCAGCATTTGGCTCTCATGCGATAGCAAGCTGGATTGCAAAACACGACAGCAATAAGTTGAAAGCCCTCCCCCCCCCAAAAAACCCCTAAAAAATTGCCTTGAAATTTTGTTCCTTAATTAGATTACTTCTGCTGACACCAGGTTTGCTTGAAATTTTGTATTTTGGTACAATACTGAAATTTTGGACCTTCCTTGCCTGAGGGTACCCCCTTTAAGGGATCACTTCCCCCCACCCCAGAGCTGCAGCGCAAACACTTGCAAGTTGGTTTGTTATTGAACTAAGGCCAAGGCCTTTTCTCTGCTCCACGCTTCTCATTTTTCCACAGTTGGAGCGCAGCAGGGGTAAAAAGGGAACTATGACACCCAGCAGCTGGTGCAAGGGCACATGGGCTCCCTAACTGGGATTTGCAGCAAATGGGTAGGGTGCCCTGGGAATCCGTCTGTACCTCCACCTGCCAGGTGCACCTGGGCCATCAGGCTCCCCCCTCTGCCCTGCCCCCAGCACCTTCACTGCCCCTGACCCAGGCTCCCCCTTCACTATCCCCATTGCCCTCCCCTGCCCTCTCCTTCCCTCCAGTAACCCCACCCCTCTGAGGCCCCCCTTCCTTCCTGCCTCTCTCCATGTCCAGTTACCCCCCTTCCGCATCCCCCTGCCCATTACCTTCCCCTCTGCCCCACCACCCCTCCTGCCCCAGGACCTTCCCCAGTACCGTCCCCTCTGCCCCACCATCCCTCCTGCCCCATTACCTTCCCCTCTGCCCCCCTCCTGCCCCTCTGCCCCAGTACCCCTCCCCTCTGCCCCATTACCTTCCCCTCTGCCCCCCTCCTACCTCAGTACCCCTCCCCTCTGCCCCACGACCTTCCCCCCCTCCCTTCCTGCCCCCCCATTACCCCTCTGCCTCCTGACCCCTCCCGGGCCGCTCCCTTTCTGCCCCCCCATTACCCCGTGACCCCTCCCCTCCTGTGCCCCTCACCCCATCCACGCTCAGGCCCGG